CCCCCCCCCCCCACCCCATTCTATGAATTGAAAATCCTCCATGGAACGGTTCTTCAGTACATCACCGATCTTGTAGGTGTGATTCACACATCGCTCTACATCACCTGGATTATTAAAGTAGTTGAATCGTACAATTGGGTTAATCGTAAATGACAAATTTGGAATTCTTCGTGATGGAATTTATTTTATTGGCAACTCAAGGTGGTTGGATTGTAATAGTTGGCTTTGAAGTTACTCAGATATGTTTCCAACTGGCAGACGATTGGTTCCAAGCCACCAATAAAGTATTGGTAACACATGGACCCTGCACAAGCTTCCTTTGTCAGGCACTGTTGGCGTAGATATGGGCATTCCCCTGTTGTAACCATAAAGTTTTGCAAAATAGACCTCCAAAGTCACTGGACATTGACGCTTCAGTTTCGATAACATGTCCATGTCGAACATATATCGGACATTCACTAACCATAGAACTTGAATATGAATCCAACTCTTTGAGCCGTTTTCAAAGCAACGAATTGACAAATTGTAACTTTTCGAAGCACGGTTATTGACTTTAAATTTGTTTTTGTACGAAACTGATGAACAAGACATCATGTACGTGACTATAAAATATAACATATCATTATGTGACATCCGACATCGGTTGGAGAGGAGAACGAAGTATTCTTTATAAGGGTGTAGAAATTTTTCCCTAGCATACGCGTTTTAAAAACCTCGAGAGGAAACTCATAAGAGAAAGCCCAAAAAGGACACTATTTATAAGAGTGTGGAAACCTCTATCTCGCAGACATGTTTTAATAACATTGAGGGAAAACTCGTAAGAGAAAGCCCAAAAAGGACATTCTTTATAAGAATGTGGAAACTTTTGTCTGACAAATGCGTTTTAATAACCTTGAGAGGAAGCTCGTGAGGGAAAGCCCAAAAAGAACATTATTTATAAGGGTGTAGAAACTTCTTTCTAGCAGATGCGTTTTAATAATAACCTTGAGAGGAAGCTCGTGAGGGAAAACCCAAAAAGGACATTCTTTATAAGGGTTTGGAACCTTCTCCCCAACCAACGCGTTTTAATAACCTTGAGGTGAAGCCCGAAATGGAAAGCCCAAAGAGGACATTCTTCATAAAGGCGTGAAAACTTTTTCCTAGTAGACACGTTTTAAAAGTCTTAAGGGGAAGCCCGAAAGGGAAAAACCCAATTAAGACAATATCAACTAGCAATGGACTTGGACCGTTACACACCATATCTTTGTTTGTATTCGTGCTTCTTTGCCTCAAAGTACCGAGATATTGATAAATACTTGGGTCGTAACATCAGATTACGTCATTTGAAAACAAAAAGATTTTAACTAATGAGAATCATGGACACAGTCAAGGGCTTGCTTGTACCTACTTCAATGGGGGCAGGGGAGAGAGAAATGTCGACAACAATGCCATTGGCCTAAAACCTTAGCAAAATGATCCTAACACACCAAATTTTGTGCTTAGTCTAACTATATCATACAAAAACAAGAGCTAATATCCTAAGGAACAAGTGTTTAAATTCATACTACCTCCCCTTCGAGCCGAATTTTAAGCAGCCTCAACATTTCGACCATTCATGGCGCTTTCGCAGTCTCACGAACAATGGAAAGCTTGGCCAAAAGACCGCATAGCTGCAGATAAGACCCAACTCCATCACAAATTCTCATATGAGCAAACCCAGTTTCCTGCAATTCATCAAAAGAGTGAGTACTAGCTAATCTGGTATGGTCAAACGATAGCTCAGGTTTTAGCATACCTTCATGAATTCCAGTTTCAGATACTCAGCCATATCATAGTTCTTAATAATACGGAAAAGAGTGGTTATTATGTCAGTGGGAGAATAGCCCATGTCGTGGAGTTGCTTCAGAGCTGCACAAGCATCGTCAAATTTACCTTCAAGCACGTTACGCACCATGTTCTTAACATGCAGCGGATGCGGTTGATCGCAAACCTAGTGAATCAACAAGCATGTCATAAGATGAAGTTTTCTGAGTCTAAGATAAGGAAAGATAAAAACATGTGATAGGAACCTTGAAAACATTGTCCTGGTTTACAAAGCGGAATCCACTATATGTTGCTTGCAAATTATTCAGCGCTTGCCTCATATCACCATCAGCGGTGAAAATGATTGCTTCAAGACCTTCTGGAACATAGGGTACCTTCATATTTTCAAACAATTATCATTTCTAAACTACTTGAACATATTACCAAACATGGGAGTCCACAAATCAAAACGAAACAATTTTAAAAAAAGCTCGAGCTATTGTTACGGATAAAAGACAAATGCAAATTAAACAAAATAATATGTGGTGAACACACAAAGGGAGACGTTGAAGTGAACCATAATCTAAGCCTCTACTAGGAGCCGACCAAGCTAACGTGTAACGAGCCAAGAATTTATTCTAAATTTTCATAGCAAACTGACAGCTCCATAGCACATCGAAGTGTTCATGAGTCATTTAGCATAACACGTAACATTGATGCCCCAAACCCTTCTCGCTTCAAAACACGGCAATCGTTTGTTTTATATCCATGCCTCTATGATATTTGTAGTAGGACCCTGTTTTGCAAGAATGGTTCGCATCTCACGATATTGGCCGACTAAGGTACTCTTTAACCTTTTGCTAGACAATGAAGGTTAGCATATAAAAAGCTGAGGTGAGTGCATCAGATGGTGTTTGTCATTTTTGGTGGCTCCTATATTTCATTTTCTATATGGTTTGTCTAAACCACTGCCTTTACTAGGCTGCTGTTTTGTCCCACGCTTTCAGGCTGATCTAATAAAGGCTTGATTTTCTTGCTCCAAGGCCAGAAACATATAGTTTCTCCGTGTTGGTAGGGAACTAAGCAAGGAGTGGAAGAGAACCATACTTGGAAAAAAGCTGCACTTTAAGACACAAGTTAGCAGTTATTACATGGTCGTTGACCACCTCATGAATTGTGAGATCACACATCGGTTGGAGAGGAGAACAAAGTATTTCCTTATAAGGTGTAGAAACCTCTCTCTAGTGGACGCGTTTTAAAATCTTGAGGGGAAACTCAGAAGGGAAAGCCCAAAGAGAACAATTTCTGCTAGAGGTGGACTTGAATTGTTACAAATGGTATCAAAGCTAGACACCGGGCAATGTGCCAGCAAAGACGCTTACCCCTAAGGGGGTGGATTGTGAGATCCCACATCAGTTGGAAAGGGAAACAAAACATTCCTTATAAGTGTGGAAACCTCTCTCTAGTAGACGCGTTTTAAAATCTTGAGGAGAAAGCCCAAACAGGACAATATCTACTCGCAATGGGCTTGGTCTGTTACATGAATTGCTTTGTTTTAGCGTTTCATTCTCAAGCTTCCATTTTCTTCTTGGAGGAAATTAAACATGTTGAATGTCTCCTTGGTCATACTTGCAAATTTTTAGGTGTAAGCCCAGTATAGCTGAGTGAAACCTCTTATGGATTAAGATAACTCATTCAGCCAATTTAGCCATGAAAGGGCAGATCGATTTAGGCTCAAGGGAAAGACGATCCAATTTAATACATCCTTGTCTTCATTTGGGTTGAACCATGCTAATGCTCAAGATAAAGGGGTGCTTTCGAAATGTCTCAATATACATGCCCGGTTTTTCTTTTGCTCCAGACATCTGACTCCCTCGATAGCTTGCTGATATCTTGAACACGACCCTACAAGTTTCTTGATTCTCTTGTTCTTAATTTTCAAGCCTATTAAAGGAACAACAAATCCAATTTTTAAGAGTGCAACTTTTCAGTACTTTCGAGTAAGTTTTGGACTAATGAGTAAATAACCGAGAGCATCTAGAAATTTTTTCATAACAATAACAATAATAATGTTTCTTTTTTATTATTATTTTTGGGATAAGAAACCTCAAAGGGGATATACTCATTGAAAAAGAAAGAACACACTAAGGGCTGGGGTTGAGAGAACCCCTCCCCTCACCAACTACTTTAAAAGAGCCTGCCGATCGTTGATAATCACCAACATACTATAATTACAAAACAACTTTTTGTGTAAAGCAATTCACCAAGAGCCCGTGTTTTGTATATAAAGTTACAAAAAGAATCAAAATGTAAGGACTTATATTCAAACGAACACGCATTTCTTTCCTTCGACAAAAGCCACAAAAGAGCCCTAAAGACGCAACTGCCTATCACCAAAGCTTTACCTTTCAGATTCCAAGCATTCAAACCCTCCAAGTGCCAATCATCAATTCTAATTGGCATACTAAACGAAATCCCCAGAAGACCCGCTAGAATATCTCAATGTGCCTTGATAGATCAGTGCAATATAAGTTGCCAACATAATCTGCATCTAGAAGGAAGAAGAGACCAGTCTTTGAACTTCCTTTGCAGCCTATCATCAGTATTTAGGCTTCAAAAGGCCAAGGACGAAAGAAAACTGGGATTTTCTTTGGGCTTTTATGCTTCCAGATTAAGCTAGTCAAACACTTTAGATTGGACCGAGATCTTGAAAAAGGGATAAGAAGTAATTGGAGATAACACTCAGCACAGACTGGATAAGGGTGAGCCGACCCACCTTGAGAAAAAAGCATGTTTCCAAGGAGAAACATTTTATGAACCTAGTCTAAAACAGGGCTCCATAAGATCATACTCCACAAATTACCCCCAAAAGGGAGACCATGATGGTAGGTCGGAAGTTAGCTAAGCTCACATCCAACCAAGGAGACCCAAGAGCTTAATTTAGTAGTTGAAAGAAATATAATCCCTTCAAAACTTGTGTCTACCCCTTTGATAGCTAGCCTATTGATGGATGCCTACCACCCACCGAAGAGTTTGAGAGAACGGAAAATTGTATTCTCATAGCCTAAAATAAAATAAGATATAATACAAAATCTTGGAGTTAAATCCTTCAAAAGTTATAACATATACTAAGAAACCTAAAAAATAGCTCAAGCATTTACTCGTCTTGGGGCTAACGTGAGATCTACTCAAGGACCTACCTACTGGTTTAGGTAAATATCTAATGGGCTCCCGAAAGAAAAAAAACGAATATCTTTCTAAAAAAAAATGATTTTTAATATTATGTTCATTGATTATTAAAATAATAATGATGATTTTTTAATTATTTATTTATTTTTATTTTATTTTTTTAAAAAAAGGAAAACTAACAAACTAGGATTAGTTGGTTGCTTGCACCCCATAAACCTATCGGTTTCCATTTAATGAAATCAACACCAATTGACTAACTTATAGCCCTAATATATATGCATATAGGAGATACACGAAGGGAACGCTACAAAAAGTGAGAGAGTACTGAAAAGAAGGCAACATGACAAGTGCCGAACCTTCCCTTCCACAAGTTTCTAACATGAACAATCAGCAATATTAACATTTTACTTTGTTTAGGTGCAATTTTAAGACACATATCTATGAGAAATTCAGGCCTACACAAGTAGTTTTGAGAGGAACAAGGCTCTTTATCCTTTTGAACAATACAGCTTAAAAATATGACCAATGATTACTAAACAAGCTAGCCATTTCCATAAAAAAATTGCACAAAAGAACAATGAGACAATGCATAATAAAACAATGGCATGAGATCTAAACATAGTGATGCTTTCAGCCTTTCAATAAAGTGATACTTTCTTCAGAAGATAATCAAGCGGCATTAAGTTTATAAGAACAATTAAATTTAGCAGAGTGATTGTATTTATAACAACAGAAATGTAGTCTGGAATGCATCTCTAATCATTATCACAAATAATTGATACCTTTTCTGCTTGAAGTACCACCATAAGGCGCCCAAGAATCTCTTGATCTGTTAATCTTGAAAATCGGACAATTGCACATCTACTCTGAATAGGCTCGATAATTTTTGAGGAGGTATTACATGCAAGTGCAAAACGTGTTGTGTTCGAATATATTTCCATTGTACGCCTCAAAGCTTGTTGTGCTCCAGTTGTCATGCTGGATTATTTCCATAATCATAACCATCCCCAAAAGTAATAAATAAATAATGGAACCCAAAGTCAGAAAATGAACAGCAAAGCAAAAGAAAATAAAATTAGGTGAGGGATACAAATGCGAAAAGGAAGGGGAGGAGGAAACAAAGAAAATCTCCCGAGAAAGAACTTCTTGGTTCCATTTAGGACCAAATAGTGACACGAAAGTGGAACTTGCACGCAGAAAACAATCTTTTAGATATGGTTAGATCATATAACCTATGACTATGAGATGTGTCATATACCCTAAGAAACAAGTACGAACACAGACATGAAACATGATTATGACACGGACACCGACATGTCAATTTGTTAATTTATACAAATGTACAACATGGACACATTGGGAATATATATTTTTTTTTTTATAGAAGATGTGCATGTTCAAAGGTTCCGGAGCTCAGCAGCTTTGTTACTGTGGTTTCTATTTCCTCTTTCATTTTCTTCTTCTTTTGTAGGGGTAGACAGACAGACATCTTTTTCAGTTCAAATGAGACTACAAACATATTTGACACTTCAAAATAGACAAGATACGTGAATTTAACAAAAAAAAAAAAAAAAAAAA